GGGGGGGGAAAGAGTCACAAATCCCAAAACAAAGTCTGAAAAACATTTTTAGTTCTACAACAAAATAAATATTTTAACTCTGACTTACCAAGAACAGTGAGACTTGGTTCAAAAAAAAAAAAAAGCCTACAGATATAACAACATATGCTGAATGTCACAACACTCCGATTCTGTTGCTGGAAGTCATGCATGAAACAGCCCAATTTATTACAAATATTCACAAAGCACAGTATAGAAATACATGCCAGGATACAGGTCACTTGCCCCGATTACACTTACTCCATCAAAGCCCTGTGTAAACAGCCAACCTTTATTGGTAGGGTTCAGTGCTACTCGTGTGTCACCTGCTTTCTGAAGCTCCAGGGATGAGCACTCTTGCTCCCTGCTGTACCTGCCAATAGCTGTGGGCTCCCCTCTGCCAGCGGAGAACTTAGTTTATGCTTATAAGTACATTCTCCCCAAAATATACTACAAAAAAAAAAAAAAAAATCCATAGGAATTCTGGCATGTACTGTGGAGTAAGAATGAATATATAACCATTGATAGCTGCTATATTTTAGATAGTCACATTAAAAAAATGCATTCCATCGACCAGAAATTCAAATTTACCTGTGTTCACTTGTGTAACATACCCTCGCCTTCCTCCTCCAATGGGTATCACTTTAATATGGAAAAAATACCATCTAGTACCCTTAAAGATCTGTCTCAAGGCATTTATAAGAGATGAAAAAGTTTCAGCCGTGCCTGTTTTGCAGCAGATTTTTCCACCTCTCTTGAAATAAGACATCTTTGAACACCACCAACTCAACAGTAGTATTACCAGAAGCATCACATACCAACCTGAACAACCGACCCAGCAACAAATTTATTTTTTTTTTTCCCCCATGCCTTCTGCTGTCCTCAGCAGTCTTTGCTTTCACTGCACGAAGATAGTGTAGTTGATCAAAACCTGCAACACTATACAAGGGATATCTTCCACACACTGCAAACATTCAAGAACAAGTATCTTGGACCCCATTTTGGGCCTTGCTATCATCTATTTATGATACTGTTATACAACTAGTTCCTCAGCTAAGGTGAACCAACAGAAGGGCCAGTCGAAAGGGAAAGCTACAGGGGTACATTAGATGAGTGGGGGGGGTTCTAATCACAAGGGTGTTATCACTTCTTGGGCAACACCTTAACGCCATGATACGTCAACACCCTTTTATTTTGTTAAAAATGAGTTTATAGCCTGGAGCTATATGCAAAGCTGCTTTGGGGGTTCAATTTGCAGTGAGATTTGTAGAAAACCAGAAAACATTCACTGGACGGTCTTTGACAGCACTTTCAGTCTCGGAGGAGAGCTCCAATAGACTCCCCAGGACCCTGGCCACCTGACAGCAGTAAGCCTTGGCCCCTGTTTTCTTCCATTATTTCACCGCAGTTCAACAAGCACCAAACTGGTGACACATCTAATCTGAGGCTTCTCGCTGTCTTTGCCAGCCTTCTGACACCCAGTGTCACGCATTTGACACATTTACAAAGGATTATATGGCACCTCAGAGGATGTGATGCAGTCCAAAACCACGTGTATAATCTTACTAAAACATAAGAACACAAGTAAGGGAGCTCACGCCAGAACTGGTGCCACTGGCCTTACCTTTTCGTTAAAACAAAACTGCTCAGGCAGTGAGGTATTCAGCTTCATCAGTAAGATCAAGGAAATACTTATATATAAAGAACCACAATTAAAGAGTTCAGACCTTGGAATCCCAACCGTGAGGCAGGCACTGTCTGAGAATTCAACATAGTTCTTGTCAAATACATCCAATTCTGAACATGAGAGAGGGCCTATACCATTTACAATTGTACAAAAAGAAAAGCAGTTTTGCTAGCAAATCCTTGTCTCCTTCCTCCACAACACAGAGAATTTAGTTACTATTTTACTTTCCTTCTCAATCCTTCATTTACAAACTCAAAACACCCCACAATCAATCCCAAAAGACACGCTGATTACAAGTGCTACTGCAAGATAAATGTCACAAATTCCAAATCTCAGTGTATTGTTCGGTTAGCATCTGGTGAAGCACAAATTAAATAGTACAGTTTGTTTCTGAATTAGAAAAGTACAATTTTTTTTTTTACGATGAATGAACTGGTGTGGACCTTGAAAAGCAGTAGTCTCTGAAAGCAAGCTGATTTACTTGTAAAGGGAAAGGCTCTTTAGAAAGATGCCGACAGTGAGAGGAAGCAGTCTTCAAGAGTCAAAATAAAAGGTTTCTTCTGTCAAATATACACTGCAAGGCTCTAATTCATGTCTTTCCCTGCTACACTGCTGCAGGTGATGCTACGCACCCATTAACATGCCCATGAAATCTGATCCATTCTGAATGGTGATGGGAGCTCCAGCACTGTTGTCCACGAATATGGAGGTGTACTGGCCAGCCTGCAGAGAGAACAAGAAGGAAAGGAAAATATCTGACGCTCCATCCCAGTGTAAAAGGAGGAAAAAAAAACCCAACAAAAACATTTCTACCATGAACTAAGCACAGAAGCTTCCTCTCCTTTTCTGTGGCTCCTGGGAACAGAATCTGACCAAACACTTTTACTGCAGCGCTCTCCAGTTTTGACTTGGTGGAAGAAATTTTCTGTAGTGAAACTGTGAGATTGTTGCTTAACTAGGCCCTTACTGCACTAGCATCTTTTTGGGTGACTAGTCAAGTGGCCATCTGTGCTTCAGATTCCCTTCTGTGAAATGGGAAATACAATTGCCATCTTGACAATGCAAGGGGAGATATGATAAAAAAAATAATATTTACTGTCGTTTCTTAGAGGGAAGATTGTTTCTGTAGGTGTATTTCTGTGTGTTTTCTTAAGGTCAGAACGTGCAAGACAAGCCTGGTTTTCACTCCTGTTCCTGCCACATATCTTCTCTAGTTACCCCAGGTAAGGAGTTTAACTTCATTAACCTTAGAAAGAAGGTTAATAAAAACTTCCCCACCTCCTGGTAAGGTTTCAGCCTTGCCAGTCAATAACTCCACAGCCTGCCAAGCAAACTGGTGCAGTGATTCCAGTCTGCACGGGCTCACCTGCAGCTGCAGTAGGCCGTGTACATAGATAGTGAAGATTTTGCTGTTACTTTCCAGACCAGCGATGACTTCCAAAGACCTAAACAGTAGCAAAAGAAAAATAAACAGGTTAAACACCTGAGGCAGCCACAACAGTTTTACGTGGAACGACGAGAGTCTCATGACATCCTCAGAAATAGGGCTGGGTGATTCTAGTGCCCGTCGGTACTAAGCAGGTGGCTTGTTGACTTCATTCTAGCAGTAATCAGCTGCTTTGAAAAGAGAACAGGACAATCTTGGCCTCACCAGAGAGTCCGAGGGAAAACCTACAGAGCACACAGGATTGTGAACGCGAAACTCAGCTAGAGGCAGGAACGGGGAGCCACCTTCTCTCACGGAGGCCTTTCTCATGGTCCCGTAGTCTCTTCCCCATCCTTGAACACGTGCTAAATGTGCTCTTTAGATTTATCTACATACCAGTTGTCCCAGTTTGTTGACCACCACGCTATTTACACTCTTGTTACTCCACAAAGAGCTGGCTCTACGCGTTCTGCCAACATTTTCGAGGTGCGAAAGGCCTGTTTCACCTTAACAACGCAAGAAAGAACATATCCCAACATTGTCCTTCAGATAAAATTCAAGGGAGAGGTCCAGATCACCCCTCAAGCACTGTTCTTTTCTAATATTATGTCGTAATTAGCCAGCATACTCCTTGCAGTAGCCAGCTGTAGGAGAGCTGCTCTCTGTGGCATCCTCTGTTTACAGAGCTCTAGCTTGGCTCCTTTGTACAGGATTCAGGGTGGAAGGAGGTGCCTGAGATGTCAACAATCAGGACAACCCACGTAAACTCGGTTCCAAAGCAACATGAAAGCACAGAGCTCCATGAGTGGCTGCTGCTTCTGGAATCTGCCTAGCCTGTGGTAGCAGACCTGGTTGTTTTCCTGAGAAAACCAACCCCTTTCCTCCCTTTTTTCCATGAAGTGGTGGTGACGGAACCCAACAAGTGCAAACGTGCTGTTTCCAGCCCCCTTGCAAGGAAATACAAAGTAGGGGCAATTTGGCCCAGAGAGAGGAAGCCACTTGGCACCACCTTGATTGAGGAGCTCAGTCTGTGTGTCATACCCTGCCAAAAGCCTAACTTGGGTGGGAACTTCCCACCATTAATCTCTTCTACTCCAACTGTCTCCTTGCCTCCGAGTTTCCATCTCTCCCTGCCGAAAGCCCTCAGGGCTCTTTCAGCTCCCTCAAATGAATGACTGTGTACGCTGCCATCCCCAGGAAATTCCACAAGCAGGGGTAGCAGCTCAGCCTGTGCCAGCAGAATGTCTGTCCAGACAGGTTCCCATCCCTCCACCCACTTTCCCTCCATGCCACAGACCAGTCACACTCTCACCCACCATATGAGAGAGAGATGCCTCTCAGAGGCAGTGCTGATTCTGCTCTGCTCCCACTGCTGCTCAACTCAGGGCAGCCTCGCAGCACAACCAAGCATAAATTGTGACCTTGGACAACTGATGAAAACTCAGAGTCAGACATCAGAGCGCTTTATCTAAACAATTAACATCTGGGTCAGTTCTAAGAAAAAAAAATGTTTCTACTGTTACTGTTCTTCGGATAACGTAGCTATAAATTCTTCAGATGGCGAGTTAATCTCAAAACATCCCAATGAACCTGCCTGGACTGTATGTGACAGAGGCTGCTCATACATCCCAGCTAGAACCAGAAGAGTTTTCTAGGAGCTTTCAGCTCAAAAGCCCTGCAATGAGGAAGGCATGGTAGCTTCTGTGGCCCACAGGGAAGCTTCTTATTCAGGTAATGCTTGTGCTTGCATTTACCAGGACAGGGAAGCAAGACTAAAGTCATGTTGAAAGCAATCAGAGACTGACATTCATTATTTAATAATATCACTGTAAGGTTGTCTGAATGTACAGCAAAGAGACAGACACAGACAGACACTGTCCTTGGAGACAGAAGCGAGCCTTCCAGAAGAAAAACACTTTGTTCTCTCTCAGATGCCTTAATCAAATCAGTTGGGAGCTCATGGAATCCTTAGGAAGAAAAACTCACCACTGTAACTTTCATTTATTTCGCAAAAAATGGTTTAAGTGGGATTTATATTTTCTGTATGATTCTGTAACTGAAGACGCTGTAGAGCGGTGATCAGGATGGGAGAACAGCTTTTCACTCTGGAGATCTGCAGGATCAATTTAAATCCTTACAGGGCTTCATAAGTCTCACCCACTCATACACTCACATCGTTATTGAAATATCATCAGGTCAACACCACCAACTTCCAATATTTTTTCACATCCCAACGGGGAATATCTTTCAACATTCCAAAAGCACCTAGAAAAAGATTCTGTGGAATTTGCAGTCCCTGTTCGTGAGGAATCCAAGGGCTAGGGACATGAATCCTGTTCTTGATGAAATTGCCAAGATAAGTGGAGATCGTTGTAGGTGAAAAGAAAAAAGCACTAATAGTGAAGAAAGATAAAAATTTGATTCCTTGAATCTAACTGGTCTTTGCTATGCAGAGGGAATAGGGATCTGCACTGTGCAAAGGCAGTTTGGGAGAGCTACTTGTTAAAAGGACAGTAACATTCTGCCCTACCTGTTCCACCCCTCCGATTAAAGGCTTGGGCTTATCTCAAAATCACTCGTTGTCCACATGCATCCCAGATTTGAAGATCAGGCTGAGGTCCATTCTTAGCATGATCTAAAGGAATTCTCACCAGTGCCAGAAATTAAATGTCCCACAAGTTCTGCAGCTTTATCAGAATATAAAGCATTCTTTCAAGGGGCAAGAAGTTACACCCCACTTCTGCTGACGTTGTGACTGCAGACAGTCTTTCACTGCCTCAGTTTAAGTGCTGCAATCATAAAAGAATGTTATAAAACAGTCTACAAGGCCAAGGAGGTGCCAGTTGCTCCAGTCAGCAAGCTCCTTGATTTCCCATCAGGTCAGTGGCACACAGCTCCCTCTTACCCTAGTTACTAATGAGTTCTCAGATACCAATCGTGTCTTTCCCACAGGCCAATGAAACCTAAGAGAGGTTTATTTATTACACGAGGTTTCATGGCAAATTCACCCACCAATAAAGCCTCTAAACTGAAATTCCTGTGGAGAAGCCAGTCCTATTGGCAGCACTCTGACTCATGAAGCAGGAAAGGTGAGGGCTGAAACAGCCAGTCCAGCAGCAAATTTATGGGTTTGTGGGTTTTAAGTTGCACCTGTGGAGTGGTTTTATGGACATATTTCAGTGGTGCTATTGCAAGGGTGTTGCTACAGCTGCACTGGAAGAGCTGTGGGCAGGCAGAGAAAATCTGCACAGCGTTGTACAGATATTTTTCCTCCTGGGACAAGGGCTGAGCTGCAAGTGGAGGCGGTGGCCACTGTGCAAGCAGCATTGCCCTCTGCTGGGTGCAAGTCAGCCCAGCCCAGGGGCTCCCCCAGCCCCTTCCTACAAGCAAATCTTGCCAAACCTCTCCTGAGCCAGCTGGCCTTCTCCGAGACACAGGACATCTACATGCTGCAGCTGAGAGGATGACAGAGGCACAGCAGCCAACAGTATGGTGATGCCATGGCCCATGGCATAAGCAGCAACACACAAGGTTGCCACGGCCTAACAAAAGTGTTTCTTTAGCAGAGTTTTGCTAATGGATCCTGGCAGAGAACAATTCAGCATGGTTCTCTGAGGAAGCTCCACAAGGCAGCTGTGAGAAGCTATCATGTACCTGTATAGAAGCCCTGCACTTTCTGTCTCAGGACCTATTTGCCTCTATTTTCCACCTATTCATTCTCCTCATCACTCCAACACTTCCATGGCAACAAGAGCGAGATGCTGTGATCCATTCAGGATGCAGCTGAAATGATAAAAATTAACTAACAAACTCTGGCACAAAACTAAAATGTTTCTCTGCAAACCCAATACGTTCTCTCACTCCGTATGTTTATGGTGTTAGCTGAGCACTCAGCATCTTTAGCTGCCTCCAGTTTCAGCTGGCTACATTCACAATTCTCTCAACAGATGCAATATTTAGCTATTTAGAGAAATTAGCACGGAAAGGTTAAAAAATCAGAATAAAACACCCACATAAAACCTAAGGGCCAGATGGCATCACTCTCTTCAGAAACGTTCTACAAGCATTTTCGTAGAAAATTCCCTGTTGGTGAACCTGATTTCCACAGTTGGTTGAAACACTGGCCCATCTGAGAAAAATAATTGCCAAGACAGCGTGGCAGTAACTCACGTGTATCGGTGGCACAGCGATTCAATGCAGATCAACACTCGGACGTTATCTCTGGCTCGCAGCTGGACTTTAGTCTTCAACTCACTGTGGTCTGGGGAAAGCAGAGGAAGAAATATAGCAGAGAAGTGGAAGCACAGAAGCAGTGGAAGCAATATAACAGAGCAGCAGTTGCTGGTGTTTGGCTTAACAGAGGCACCAGTAACCTTGAGACTTCTGTATTGGGTTTGTGTGGCAAGGTTTTGGTAGCAGGGGGCTACAGGGGTGGCTTCTGTGAGAACCTGCTAGAAGCTTCCCCCACGTCTGACAGAGCCAACCCCAGCTGGCTCCAAGACAGACCCATGGTGGCCAAGGCCAAGCCTGTCAGCAACGGTGGAAGCACCTCTGGGATAACATATTATTCACCACTGTGGGGGAGGAGGTAAAGAAAATCAGGAGTAAAGTTAAGCCTGGGAAGAAGGAATGGGTTAGAGGAAGATGTTTTAAGGTTTTGGGTTTATTTCTTATTATCCTACTCTGATTTGATTTGCAATAAATTAATTCTTCCCCAAGTTGAGTCTGCTTTGCCCATGATGGTAGTGGTGAGTGATCTCTCCCTGTTGAGCCTTTTGTTATATTTTCTCTCTGGTCCATCTGAGGAGGGGGGTTACAGACTGGCTTTGGTGGGCACCTGGCATCCAGCCAGGGTTAACCCACCACAGCTTCTTAGGAAAGCACCCTTCTGGTGTTGGATTATAAAATACTTCCTCACTGACTGACTAAAACCATTGAACAAAATCGAAACAATTGGTGATAAAACACAATCAAAACTGCCCTGATGTAGCTCTACATCATCATGTTCATTTCTTCTAAATTTTTGATGGAAGCCATAATTCTGCACATGAATATAACTGGTCCCTAAACTCATCCTCCGTAAGGATTGTTTGGTTTTCATGGAGCAGCCTGCTGTGGCTGTGAAAGCACCCAGCTCCAAGGACAGGGGTTTGGGTCATGGTACCAGAGAGGGAGCTCACTGCAAAGGGCTGCCATTGCACATGCTTCAAATCAAACAGGACCCACAGAGCTCTCTCCTTCCTGCACCTCTCAAGCTGTACAGAAAAGGTTTCTGGGGACAACACTCACCAACATGGACATTGGCTGAAAACTGGTAGATGCCAGACACAGGTGCTGTGAAACGTCCTGTTGCCAGATTTAATCCTGTCCCCCGGAGAAAAGCTCCTTTGGCCAGAGGCTGTAAGATAAGAAAAGCAGATCCTGAGCAAGTCCTCAGCACCCTCACCAACTACAGAGCAAAACTGAAAACATTTGCAAGGCCTTGTCTCCCCACAACACACCTTCCAGAGGGGCAGGCTCTCAGCATTTCATGCCCACAAGAGGCAAAATGATGAGACGTGAAAATGCCCTTTTTGCTCACTACCAAACTCTTCTAACCCACCTTGATTCAGACTGTGCTTACTGCATCCCTATGCTCTGCTGGTCCTCGTGGCCTCTAGCCTCCCCTGATGTTCTGATACACAAGATCTCCCACTAATTGAGTCAGGAGGTCCCTATGTCTCTCAAAGACTTCCTAGATGGGGCCAAACAGTGTCTCCAGGCTTAAAAACCTGGAACCTTATACACTGGTTTTGTGGTACAAGTACAGAGAAGACACTCATATGGATCTCCAGAGGTTTTCTACCCTCTTTAGACCTAAGTCAGATGGATTTGACTGTTGAAGAGCAACTGCTTGGATTCTTACAGATTCCATATTTAGTTTCATTTTGTTCTAGGCTTGGATTGTACAGAATAGGCAAAAACCTAGTAAAATAGCATGCAGCTTCTCCTCATGGCAAGAAAGCAGTCTTAAGTCAAACTTGCAGCAGATTATCTGACTCAGACTAAAATAAACTCTGCAAGAAATGATTATTGTTTGCTTTGGCCTGCCTCATATGAATTTGGCTAGAGCTGGGGAGAAGCAGGAGTGGCTTCAATGGGCCAAGAAAGCACATTAGTCAGACTCTGCTTCCACCGCAAGGGCATTCTGTGCAGTGTGAACACATTCCCATGAATGCTGTCCTGACAGATTTGCCCTACGTCCGTCTTATGGGACAGAAGAACCGTTCAAAACTGGCTCTGTAGAGGCACACACACTGCTATATCCCTAAAACGTGCACAAATGCATAATTGAGCGATCCTAACAACCCAATATTTGAGTGTGTTTTCCAATACTAGATGGAAAAAGGGACCCGAGACATGCTGGAGAAATTTGTAGCAGTGTTACCACTGGTGCTATTACACTAAAAAAAAAAAAAAAAAAAAAAAAAAAAAAGTAGTAGAACACCTTTGTTCAAGTATCAGAAGGAATTTAATTGCCTCCCCATTCCGGTTTATCACAGCCAGATATTGCCAGCTTTCACAGTGCAGGGTAGAAATAATTTATTTAGCTTTCTCGTTGAAAGGAAGTAAGGCTGCAAATATTTGGGTCTGGTGGTGTATGTTTAGAGAGTTACTACAGGGTAGAAGGAGTGAAATGACTAACCTGCCTTTATTCAGCAAATCCCAGGCAAGGCTCACAAAAGAGTAATTATTTATTTACCAAGATCTAGCTGTAGTCTTAAATTTGATAGAACTTTACTAGAAAACGTTTTGTGTATGCATGTGGTGGTGAAAACATATCCATGTGCAACAGCAGTGGCATTTCTCTGAAGATGATCTATGTATAATGGGAAAACTAATAATGAACTGCAGAACAACTATGTTGCATACAGTGATTTCTAAGTCTCTACATTTATCAGTGTGCACTGATGTGTGCCTATGTGCACATACACACACACAAGAGGAGCTCAATTTTCTTTATGTGTACACCCACAGACAGTAACAGCCAGCCTAACAGCAAGGGCTCCAGAAGGAGACTGAGCCTGTCCTTATGCTATCACTACACCCTCATTTTTGGTAAGGCTATTTTTGATTTACCTCACTGAAAGAGCAGATCTAAGCCCTGTATGTGCAAACCCATACTGCATAGTTAATTCATTCCTTTCCTGTTACAGCTATTAGCAGAATCAGCAACATAATTCCAAAACCACTGGCTGAGCATGGAAGGCAATTTTAGGCACCAGTAAATTATCACTGATAAAACATTCCTGTTTCTTCATGCCCTCTGTGGCTTTGTTATTCTTTTGCTGATAGAAATAGACAATGCAGGGAGAGGTCTCTGGGCAAAATATTCCATTAAACCCCATGCCAATTAGAGCTCCCTGCTGCATTTGCTGCCTCACAGCAGCACACTCACCTATCTGCTTCAAACGCTGCACTGATTTATATCTGAGAATCTAACTACTTGCATACAACTATTTCAGTAGCCGGACCAAAAGCAAACAAAAAAGTTAGTGTCCAACCATCCTGCACAGACCAAGGTCAGCTTCTCTTCCTCAGTTCATCTCCCTCATACACTCCACAGTTTACTTCCAGGTGGAAAATAGGAGCCACACACGAAGAATTGAGATGTGAACTGTCAGTTTAGCTTTTCAGTGATAAATGCTGCAGAAAGCAATGCCTTGACTTATCCATTATTAAAGAAAAGGATAACCCAGCCTGCACGGCAACCACAATGCACAGAGGATGCAGCAATAAAATTCAACTGCCAAAAGGTAGACACGTAGCTTGACCTCAAGGTACTAGAGACACCAGGACACCTTCTGGGATATTTCACCATGAAAAGCACATAGGCCAACTCAGCCTTAAATGATCTGATTGCAGTGATGTTCTGGGGCTCAAGATAAATCCCACTTCCATGGCCTGCCAGAGGCTGCAGTTACTTCAATTCCTGCTGTGTAAAGTACCTTTCTGAAAGCTTTTACAAGAGGAAATCGTTAGAAACCTCAAAGCGTAAGATACAGGAGGAAGAAGTGTGGGGAAAGGAGTATGACGTGTTTCATTTCGGATACTAAGGAAATTGTGAGACCAAGAGGAAGAGTGGGAGGGAATGTTCTTGGAGGAAATTTGGCATGGAAGGATGAGAAAACCATCACGCTCTCTCAGTACTCAAGGTCAGAGTAACTGAGACACCATACCCAAATGACAGAGCATGGAAGCGATAGGCCATTTCTCAGCACAGGTTCTTTCCACTATCTCAAAATGCTTTGGGTAAGGTCCAAATTCAGGAGTTAGAGCCAAGCCCTATTATCTCACTGAGAAGTATCAAACCGTTGGCTTCTTCACACTATTAAACTGATGGAATGGAGGAAGGGAAATTCTCTCTCTCTCTCCCCATCCCCCTGGGACTGTTTAAAGACAATGTTTTCATCTTTACAAGAGCATCCACTATCTCCCTCCCTGCTAAATTCCCCTATATCAGAGCACAAGCTAAAACCAGACACTACTTTTCCCAAAGCTGAAATGAAAAGCTGGCATCCAGAGGCCTGCCAGCCCTCCCACATCAGCTTCAGGGTCAGAAGCAATTAGAAAGAAGCTAGGAATATGATAACAAAGCATGGGAAGCATCAGCCTACGCGCCCATTGCCGAGATGTCTTTATACACATTTTCCCTCCTAATTAATGAGGCAGCAGATCTCTCTAGCCCTGCCCACACTTCAAGTACAATCTTGCCTCTGTGCCAGTACCTACAGAGCTGTCACACCAGGCTTCCACAAGTGTATTTGGGAAAGATCCAGGAAAGCACCCCGTTTAGAACATAACCACTGCCTCTAGTCCTGCAGCTGTGAGAAGTCCTAGCAGGAAAACTGCTCCTTAGGAAAGGATCTGCTGGACAGGATTCTTCAGAAATGGGACTCAGTACAGCTGGGCAGAAAGCTCAGCACCTTACTACATGGACAGTGTCAGCAAACCCTCCTGATGAAAAGCCATACTCCCTGTTCATACCCTTCAAACTCTTCTGGACACATCACAAAAGCAACCGTGTATCTGAAGGACTTGTGCTCTTAGACAATCTTTGTGATTCCAAAGTCTGAAGTAAGTCTCCTCAATTACCAAGTAACTATTTGGTTTTAGCTATTAGTTTGCCTAACAATTACATTTCAAATTCAGATCTTATTTGCAACTGGTTCAGAAATGGTCAGTAGAAGTTTTAATATCAAATTCAACAGCTTGCTCGTAACCATGCTTATAGTGCCCTACAGCATCCCAGGATGGTGTGCCTGTCATTATAACATGACTGTAACAAAATCATATAGGTAATTTTCAACAGTCTTCTCTAAAAATTATGTAAAGAATTTGAGCATCAGGACTGGCCCATCTAACAAAATGATGGCTCTTATGTGGGCTCACAAGTCTACAACCAATGGCTGCTTACTGACTTTTTCTACATCTGAAGGTTACTCTGGAATTAAACAGGGTGTGCACTGAAAAAAAAAAAAAGAACAGATCCTTCAGACTAATGCCAAACACGGACAAGTCTTTCTTCATCATTAACTGAAATAAAAATACTGACTGTTGTTTGGACCTGTGAGACAGCCCTCTCTTGCACAGACCTGTCAGAACTTCAGTAAGAACTGTAATGAGATTCAGCTGGGCTGCAAGAGAGGGAGAAAGTCTGCTTCTTGGGTTTGTCAGGAAGGAGAGGACCCAAAGGTGAATGTCCATCTTACTGCAGTTGAGTTTCAGTGCTGAAATCACCCTGTGAGATCCTACTTCTCTCCATCACAAAAGAGGTAGTGCTATACTCATAGCATCCAAGCCTGAGAAGAACTTCTGGAATTATTCTGCCCTTTTAGGAAACACTTGTATCTACAGAGCCACCTAGCAGCTTTGCAGATTAGGGGAACTACAGCTGATCTATGTGCAATGGCTCTTGTGGAGCTGCACAGGTTCAGTCTGTAATCCCTTCTCACCGACTGGAAGTTCTGAAGTTCTACCAGGGTCTTCTTATCTACAATGACTTGTCCTTTTAGCTTGCAATGGAACGCCTCCTCTACACGTCTGTGGGGCGAAACTTCCTCCAAGGAGAGCAGGAGTGGAGGCAGCTGGCTAGGATGGGCTGAAATAGCCAGGGATGCTCGACGCTCAATGGCTTCTGAGAAGAAAGGAAGAAGTAGAGGAAAATAAACACTTAGTTTAAGAACCTGGCCTATGAAGCCATCAGTTGTGTGATTAGACTTCTGCACTTAACCCTTCAATTTGAACTAAGCAGCACCGGGGAATCTATTTTTTCAAATTTTTTGATTGCCAGGTAAGGGAACGCTTTAAGGTAAACGTTTGCAAAGCCAATTCTTTATTTGCCATGGTGCTCACCAAAAGATGCAGATTACAAAAGCACAAAGCTCTTACAGTCTTTACCTTTTAATATCTCCTTAAACTCCTGCAGAAGGACTTCCCGGGTGACTTCAGCACCAGGTGCTCCTGGAGGTCCCTGGGGACCAGGAGGTCCTGGGGGCCCAACAAGGCCACGCTAAGGAAGTAACCAAAAAAAAAAAACAAACCACCATGTGAATTGGAACCAGGCAATTGCACTGCCAGACCAAAAGTTCTCTCAGCCATGAGCCAGTTCTACAGGGCTGTCAGCCATGTGAGCAGCCCCCTCCACTATCAGTTCAACTACAGGGCTGATGCAGTAAATCTTAAACCAACTCTCCAGCCAGCACTTGGAATTTACTCACATCTTTATGTGGGAAGATAAACTTTACTCAGGTAAACACTGACTGGTTCTTCAAGTACATATATATGGTGTGAAGCACAACAGGCACAAGACTAAGTCTGCTGCCTCTGTACCTTCTTGTATCACCAAAGCATCACACTGGCCTTTGAGCTTCTTATTCTGCCTGTTTGCTAACTAGAATAGACATCTAGCCACACTTTACGTTATTAACATATCTTGCTCAGACATAATGATCACATACATGAATATTTGGTGTGACAGGAGAGCTCTCGGTGGGGGTGTGTAAAAAAATGAAATGGTTCATTCAAAGCCTGTAAAGGTTAGGCACACACACATTAGAGCCTTAAACTAGTGGTATGAACATGCAACAGTGTTATCAATGCTATTTTGATGTATATTGTTCCCAGGGAGTGCCTGTTTCCTCAACTAAACTGCAGCAAACCTGCATGGATGCACTTCTGCCTACAGGCTCACTGAGAAATAAAAGGAAATCATTAAAAGCATTCAAGATTGTCTAAGTAGCAGATTAAAAGTAACTCATTAATTTGAAATAAACGACTTGTCCACACCTTGATTAATATATCCTTTGAGATACCTGGACTTTATCTAGTGGAAGAAAAAAAATATGTTAATTTTATTTCTACTGAGCAGAATAAAAAAAAAAAAACAAACCAAAGAAAGGCTCTGTCCAAGGAACAGCTGGTTTAAACAAAATGAATGTCAACAGTGGAATTGACATACCTTATCTTACAAAGCACATAGCACTTATTGTCTCAAGCTTCTCCAAAATAATTTGAGAAATTAAAAATAAACAAATTAATACGTAGCACGCTTTGGGGTAGGAAGGCAAAAGCTGAAGCATACAAGCCACCTTGCACAGCAGCAGTAAGAAGGGAAGCCACAGGGCACATTTATTAGCTGATGGCAATCTAGCAATAACCTACTAATTTCTTGTCTTTCCCTTTGCATCTCCTTTTAGAGGTATTGCCATCGTCTGGGCGGTGAACAAAGGAGATCCAGGTCCGCCGTGGATCTGTGATTCGAGGATCTGGAGATTCTAGGATCTAAAGAGAAACAAGAACAAAGACGGATATTGCTGAGTCTCTCTGGCCACTACATGGATTCAGAGAACGTAGTTTCCAGACCAGACTGTTGCCTGCTGCCTAAACCACATCCTTGATCCAAACATGCTGCATTTGGGAGGGCATTGAAGGTGGGATAAAATGGGATTTTACAGTTCCATAACAAGCGTTTCAGTTTGGATTATCCAGTAACATGCCACTTTTTGTCTTCATTTATAGGAGCATTGCAAATGCAGGATAGTACTTCAGTCTGAGTTCTGACATAGTGCAGGAAAGACACCAGTCTTTCAGAGTCCCATTAAAGTAGGATTTTTTTCTTTATAAATTACAGATTAATCTTACCAGCAGAGATGTCCCACAAGCCAGAAGATGCTGCCCTTAAAAGAACAAAATGCCTTCTCATAACTTAATCTACTATCACCTACTGGGCCTCCCAGCTCCCTTTGCTTAAGAGATCAGTAAGAGCCATGATCTGGGAGCCAGGGTACCTCCGAGACCTTTCTCAAGCTGCTGAGACTCTCAGCCCTCTGACAGTCCCATTACATGCCACAGAAAACCTGCCCAGATGCCAGAGATTGTTTACCACTGGCATCTGACACTTATCAGTTGGATCAATCAAGCAATACAGGGAGATTAAAACGTACAGAAAACCTTGAAATGCTCCGTAACTTTCAAATCACAGGCTGAAGAGTGACAAATGTGCACACAGAGAAAAAACAAAACAACCACCAAACCCACAATTCACAGTGAAAACCGAAGTCAATGTCTGATCACAGAAAAGATGTCCATTTAACTACCTCACCCATTCCTGTGTTCTGCAAGTGTACTGAGGCCATAGAGGAATTATCTAGGGAAGCTTTGACATTGCAGTTCCTAGTTCCCTTCTCAACACAGACTGGATAGAAGAGAGGATCTGTCTTTATGAACTGGGATCCACTTCCTATCGGACTCCCTTGTTGCCATTACTCACCTCCCAGAGACAACCAGAAGTGACCAATCAACTAGCCATACCGGTTGGTTTTGTCCTCGGCTAGGAATGAACTTCTAACTTTAAATTTTAAAAAGGCACCAGAAATCATTGCTTACCAATACCCCGCCATGCTCTTATCAAGAGCAATTAACTGTTGACTATGGAGATTCCAATCTGTTGGCACATCAGCCTCCCAAATGTCCATCACAGTGAGGAGAGAAGCACACATCCCCCCAGAGTTTCATGAACTATGCTTAAGTATGCAGAGCCATTAATGAGAAAGGCAGAGAGGAAAAACTTGCAACGAACACTTAAAATCTTTAAAACAAACAAACAAACCACCCTATACTTATTGTAAACTTTTGGAATTCATTCAAGAAACTTTTTTTTTTTTTCCTCCTGGTGAGACAGAACATGTACGGATCAGAATTCCAGCAGGAAAGCAACACAAGGCAGTAGTGGGTTGAATGACATTTGACATGATTCCTAGACCATTACAAGTTTAGGTAAATCAATATTGATCTATCACTGTTCAGGAGAAAGAAAACAAGATGGGTGTGGAAAAAGCACAGAAGTAAAGTCAGTCAACAGTGCACTTCTCAGATCTAAAAGCGTTTGCCCCTGGGTATTAAGCTCCTACCAGTCTGACAGCACTAGACGGTTGTGTCACACACCACAGCTCTACACTCCGTAGCCTTGACAGTAACAGTGACCTTGGAAGGGCTTCCAGGGCATCCAAGTCAGCAAACACATCTATGTTTGCTCATTACCTGTCTCACTTGGCTCCCTAAAGCACTTGCCACTTCTCAGAGAACCATACTGAGTTTTAATAACATTTCTAGGACCACTTATAAGCATAATTCCCTTTTATCAAACAGTCTGCAGAAGCACGTAGAAAACAATTAACCTTAAGAATGCAGGTGGAGCCGAGGTCCCAATAACTGTAGTATATCTCAGTGTCTGAGAGCAACAGGAATTGCACAGAGATTGCAAATTTTAGCTAGAAACATCAGGGCTAGCCCATTTTGAGGAGAAGAGACCACAGCCTGTGTGATCCGCTATGAAAAATCCATGCAGTTTAAATAGTTTTAGAATAAATCTTCGAAGTCTGCTGGAGTTCCAGCTTGAGGTTATAAGGAATGTCGGTGCTTCTAAGCTGATGCAGAGCGTGGAAAGCTCCAGGCACATGGGTGTAATACAAGGTACTTGTCCACAGATTTCTGAGCTGATGCGATCACAACTATTTATTTCGAACGGCTCAGGTCAACAAATGGTTTACAAACCATCAGAATATGAGCAGCTCCCCAGTAATCAGCTGTGCTGTGAGTGGAGCAAAGGTATTTGTTAAACATACATCTCAAACTCCGCGAAGCCAACTCCGTCTGCTCTATTCAGCAAATAACCTGAGGTGATTTACTGCTCAGACACGACCCACAGAACGATCTGCTCCTTTTGAATTGCTCCATCCAGGCAGTCCACTTCACCTCCCCTCCAGATAGATGGCTGCAGAGTAGTCTGTGCGCTGAGCCAAAGCAAGGATATCCCCAGACATTTCACCATATCATTTGTGCATTTGACTATAACTGATCAGAGCCAGAGTTATGGTTATGCACACTCCCCCAGTGCTCAAATTTAGCATGCATCACAAGACAAACTATTCATAACGATCTAGTTCATTATTTCTGCACCAAAATCAGTCCTGAACAGACTTCTTCCTGTTTATAGCCACATTTACAGTCAGCTGTAAATTGCATCTTTAGTCAAGGGGTTCTATTAGGTTGTTTTACCCAAATTATTATTTATCTTTTTTACTTTTACTGCACCCAGAATTTACACAGCTTTCTAAAATCCCATTGAAAATTAATGGCAACGGAGCACCATAGGAAGTCCTGGGTATTGTGAGATTAGTCACCTCACTAAAACAACATCTTCCCACAGACTGATTGACTGCAGATTTTTGCAAAGCATAAGAAGTCAAAGACAGGCCAAGAAGATCCTTTGGGGCAAGCCTCTCCATCTATTCTAACACGCAAACATCAAGCCCAGAGGCAACCATTCATAAAGTTTGCAAAAGTCCTTAGAAGAGCACACGGGGTGTAGCTTATTTCTACAGTCAACATGAAATATATTTATCAGTTTCATGGAGATTTAATGGTTTCTGATGGGAAAAGCTAGTTCTTTCCTACCCAACTTCATCTGAAAACAGGTGGGTGCAGCATCACCCCGAGGTCACGCTTACGAGCATTTAATTTTACAAAGCTCATCAAGGTAAAGCAGGTGAAAACCTACCCATGCTTTGCCCAAAGGAAGCAGATGGCTTTTTGTCCCAGTGTCTGGGACAGGCAGGTCTGTGGTAAAGCTACAGTGCAGTTCACAAAACAGAAGGAAGGAACTTATTCATAGAAGCACCCAACTCGGGCAGGATGGAGTATTCCCTCAGTGCTGTAACAGAAGCCAGCAAAAGAGCAGCTGGGTTGCAGAGAAAAGAGAATCAAAATCAGTTCATCCTTCAAAAAGGGCTGTGGTAGCAGGAAAGTCTCCAGAATACAGCAAACAAGATTGGAGTCTTAGGAACTGGGATGCAGCATTTGCTGCAGATGTGGAAGAGACTATTCAAATCTTCCTGGTTTCCACCAGGCTGCAAGACAGGCATAAACTCCCCTCCACTGCAAAAATGAGGAACCAGGCCAGCTAGAAGCAGAAGCCAGCAATCAGGGACAGACTCTGACCATTAACTGTGAAGACAAACAGATGTCCTCAGCCTTTCTAGAGCTCCAGCTGTGAAGAAACAGAAAAAAAAAAAAAAAAAAAGAAATCCAGATGGCACATCCCAGAAAAATAAATGAAAATCTCCTAAAGTTTAAAAAAATAATAAAAAAATTCCCATACCTCTCCAGTGGCTTGCTTAAATTACAAATCCCTCTACAAGACAGTCATGGCACTCCCCGATTTCTCCAGCACAAGGATGATTGACAGTTAAAATGAATGTTCCATCCTTGTGGTATTATTATTTAATTACTATGGCATGCATGAGCAATCCCAGCAATAAGCATGCAAGCCTCTATTTTTCTTGGCAGCAGCAGCCTCCAGCAGCCAGAGAGACCTTGCAGCCAACTCAGGTATCAGGACTGAAAACAGCCTTGGAATCCCAGCAAAGGGGACTTGTCTCTCCTGGGGTGCTGTTTGCAGAGCAAAGCTAACCTACAGGAGTCAGGAGGAATCCTCATGTTAACTGCAGTGAAATCAGGCTTCCTCCTTCACACTTGAAACACTACCTCCAAAATCAACAGCAGCCTTGCCAGCAATTTTCAATGAACTTCCAATCAGGTCTTATAACGTTACTGTGGAATCCGAACACAATGGCACCTATCACTTCAGAATGATTTACAACACTAATGAGAAATGAGCCCACTCTCTCCCTAACTTCCCTCAAAATAAAAGACAAGTTGAGGTGTAATTTAGAATGCTGTACACAAGCAGAACCTGCGGTTCTTTCTGGCTCTAATTCTCAGAACAGCACGCACTGCCCAGAGACACACAGAGTCTCTGGCCAAGATTCAGCCAGCATGGAAGAAACTACTAGCAGAAATCCACTGTCAAGTAGCAGAGTTTGGATCCTGAGAAATTTCTGAACTGTATCTGAACTTTCCTGAAATTCAAGGACACTGGGATCCAGTCTGCATCTCTGCTAAAAACCAAAGTAAGGCAGATAAAAGTAGTTTCAGAGTCTGGAGGAATAAAAGAAAGAAAAAGTCAACACGACCTGTGAGCAAGTCTGTACACCTAAAAGCATCTCAAAGTGTTCCCAGGCACACCTAAGCATTTTGCAGGGTGGGACAGGATGGAAATAAAGCATGCAAAGGTTACTATTTTGTGAGAGGACAGCATCCTTTCCACCTGCAATTAGCCAGGGACGTGTGTCCAAGAACATACACCTAACCATTCCAGTTCAAAGTCTTTATGCCTGAAATTACTCCCCTGCAACTCTTGCACAAAATTATCTATGTATTTGTCCACCTGTGATGGAATTATATTTAAGAATTATTTGCTTAATAGTTACGCAGTTGCCAGACACAAAATGGACCTGACCAAGCATTTCAATTATCTTAATCCAGAAATTTCTATGTTATTACACCTGATTTACACCAGCAAGAGTAGTGTCAGCTTCATAATGAAATCAGGAACAAATTATTTATTTCAGTAGTGTATTTTACTTGGAACAGATTAAAAATGACAGACAGCCTTTTTTTTTTTTTTTTTTTCCTTTTTTTTTTTTTTTTTAGCATGAAAAATCCTATGTCAGCTGCTAATAACATGGTTATACACAGTCCTGGTTATTAATGAGATGTAAAACCAAGGTCCTGACCACTTGTGGTTTTTAGAGATCTCAAGAATTTTCCCTAGAGCAGAAGTGTTAAGTTTGGTATCTTGGCCAAATACAAAATGGAATTCCTACCTAAATTCCCACTATGCTTTGTGATTGAAAAATTATACTTCGCTCCTCTAAAAGGCTATCTCAAAAAGCTTCTCCCTCCCACTTAAACACAAACCGCCTTCAGTGGTCACACCCATAACGAATTTAATGAATCTAATGGAACGGTTCCTGCGAGCAAGAGCTACCTTGGGTGAGAACATGATGTTTCTTGCTGTGTTAGCTGCACTGCAATGTTAACCAGTGCCACCCTGGATGCACCAAGAAAGTCTGGCTTTAGGGACACCACAAAAAGGTAAGGAACTGAACAGCACTCATGGAACAGGTGTAACACAACGCACTTAGCACTCAAAACCACAGCTGATGCAGGACTACATCATTTAATAATGACATTTAAACATCTTACGAACAGCTCTGAGAAATGAGACCAAGCACTGAATTACTTGATATGCTGAGAGTCAGATGTATGAATCCAACATTATTTTACATGAGCCACAAGGAATTGCTAGGACCATGTTATTTGTTCTAACCCTTCTTGTTCATAATATGCCTGAGCCAGACTGACAATGATGACAGATACAAAACCATTAAAAATAACATCTTCTACTACAGATAGGTCCCAGCCCAGTCTCTCCTCTGGCCTTAACAGATACCAATTACACATGCAATCACACACTTCAGGCTAAGACTGAAATCTCTTTAAAGAGGAGGAATGCAATCTGCACAATGTCATTGAACCAGCTGCTGGTTTCCATTGGAAGCAAAAGGCCCCAAAGAAAGGATTCAGAAAGATTTAAGTAACAAATCAGGTAGAACTAACACTAGGCATTTGACAGAGACAGCAGGATCACCAAGGAAATAAAATTTCAAGGACTCCTTGGCTATGGAGTGGGTTACTAAAGTAAAAACATTGCACTATTTCTTGCAGGAATTCCAGGGAAGGTAAAATCCTCTTGACCTCAAATCGTCCCTGAAATTTCACTTGGAGACCGAGTCAGTAATTTTCCCCAGGTTAGGATGCTGCCTAAGCTGAACTAAGCCTAAAAGCAGCTCACAAAACAGCTGAAGTTGGACGGGACATCCACAGCTTGTCTAGTTCAACACTCCCTGCTCAAAAGCAGGTGAACTAGAGCGAGTTCCTCCGGACCTCATGCGCAGTCTCTCCATGGAGTTTTGACTCTCCCCAAGGATGGGGACTCCACAGCCTCTCTGTTCAGTGTTTGACCATCCTCACAGGAAAGATTTTTCTTTTAAGGATTAAGTGGATTTTCCTGTATTTCAACTTGTACCCACTGTCTCTTGTCCTTTCACTGGGCACTAGGAGTCTGGCTCCATCTTTATTCCCTCTGCTCAGGTATCAAATGGCAACTCCTGATCAGTGTCAATCCTATACAGCCTCTGGACACTCTACTACTGCTGAACCCCTGCTAGTATAATACTACATCTTGCAAGACAAGGTCTGTGCCTGGAAAGGGGAAGGCAAGTCTGGCAGGTGGCAGCTGCAGGTACTCAGCCACACACAAGGTAAGAGGTCCAGTAGATGAAAATCTCTGCATCCATCAGTCATGTTCTGCTCTCTTAGTCCATCTGTGTCAGAGGAGAAAAACCTCATGTGCTTGGCAAGCACATCACATTGACAGAAACTCAGCAAAGACATGACTGGAAAACCCTTTTTTTTAAAAACAAAACAAAAAACAAAAACAAAAAACAAAACAAAGCAAAACAAAACAAAAAAAAAAACCACAAAACACCACCCAACACACTTCTATTTCCTTGGAAATACCAAGTTTATCAGGAGATTTGAGACTTCTGCTTCCATGTTTTAGGTAGAGCTTTCACCACATGACTCATGCACTGTGAATGTTAAGTGGAGCTTTCTCCACTTCTATTTGAAAAGAATTCCCAAGACAAATTACTCCCAAATTGTTTTGCTTAATTAGAAGGAAAACATTATCTACCTTTTCAACAGTATGAATAAAAATCACTGCTCTCAGGTAATATTTCGTTCCCTGCTCCTTCTGCTTTGATAAACCTACCAGCTGGCCAGAGAGTTGTCCAAGATAAACAGAGCCTTAATTTTTACTGCACAAGGCCACAAAAATTCCATCTTTCCTGTTATGTGCTGTAGAGAAATGAAACAGGACACTGCTGTTGTTTCACTTTCCTGTGCAGGGCATCCTTTCATGAAACAAAACTGCTCACAGAAGTACCCTCAAGGCTCAGAGAGATCAGTCTTCCACAGAGACCTGCTTTCAACTCCCTTTAGCTCGACAGGTTTAGTAAGGATAACTTCCCTATTACATTATTTCTTCCCTTAGTGAATACAAATTGTGATGCTTTGCTGTAAATGGCAACAGTCATTTACCCCAGAAATGGGGGCAATTCTTAAGCACTGCATTTACAGTATGTGTAAAATAATCCCTTAGTTTAGCAGCTGCTCTATGAATATAAAATATAGAGTCACCCATGACATTCAGAAACAATACTTAACTAGAGTCTGGACTTCAATCTCAAACAGATTCCAAGGAGAGAAGTTCACACTGCAAAATGTGGGAGTGAGTATCAAGCAGAGCTTGTAAGCATTTACATCAAAGATTTGGTCTTGTCCAATCCTTATTAAACAGAACCTGCCTTCACTGGAACTCGTCAGCTCTTACTGGAGCCAAGCCTTTGCCATGGATATTTTAAAGCAAAGTATTTCAACACAGAAACTGCAGCTTCCAAACAACGTCTGCTTTAATGAATGCCCACTAGCCTCCCAATGAGTACTGTGTTTCTTCTAGCAGTAACATATGTATGACTGTATCAGAATTAACCTGGACCAGCTTCTGCTTGCTTTTGCAATCAGAATATATTCTGATTGCGGTCCAATACATTTCACATCAAGCCAAATTAATTCCAGAATAGACCAAAATTTAGTTGCACCAGATACGTATCTGACCCCTTTTGGAAAAGCAGAGTGCAGCAGTTCTAGAGAGAGTGGAACAAAGTGATGGATTATAAGCACCTCAAGAATTTAGCATGTACACAACCTGTCCTGACAAGAGCCCTGCAATACACAACAACATCTTAGCTGAAGAAACACTGCTTACAGTCCCCTAATGATAACTTTAAGTACAGCAGCCAGCTTTTTTTAAATAGAGGACTGTTTCCCAGACTTGCCCAACCTTAACCAATTACTCTCACAATACCATTGAATAGGATATTTAGAATGTCAGCCCAATTGTTCTAACTTGCCCCCTCTGCCATGCCCCAATTTTTGACAGGTTTGTTCCTCTATTGCTATAGTGACTGCCATCCCTAATGCTTGTGATCAAAGTCATGTTTTAGAGGTCACCTCCATTTGAAACAAGGGACATTTTTGTGTGAGCAGGGGAGAGGCGAGGAGAGAGAGAGAGAGAGAGAGAAGGGGCTGTGTGATAGGAGAGACTCCCTTCTTTCTCAATGTTGCACTCCTCCTTCCATTTCACCCTACTCCTAATCCTAGGACCTGCCTTTAATTCCTTAACCCCCTCTCCTACTCCCAAGCATTCTATGCAAATGTTCATCTTCAAGGATTCTGGGGGCTCTGATAAATTGTCTGGAAATTTTTTGCACCTTTCAGCCTGCTGTGTTTCTCCCAGACATGTAACTGGAAGGATCCTACTCTGCAAAACTCACTCACTAAGCCTAGCAAGCTACAGCCGGTGAGGTGTCATACACACAGTCTTACACTTACACACGATTAGCATCACCCCAAAGCCTTTCCTACAAAAGCTACAATCACCTTAAACAAGATCATCTGACCACACCAAAAATTTCTCATCTGTAATTTTCAGTCACCACAGCCTCTCTGGTGGAAGGTGCAGTGCAGAGAAAGCTCAGGCATACTCAGATGCTTCTACTGTGGTATTTGCCTGAGAAAGTTTTGAAATAACATTTCAGAGAGCAAAGGGTTTGCCTGCAAGAGATACATTAATAGTCCAGTATCATTACTGCACTGTGATAGCCCACTTGCCTTTTTTGAATTGGTTGTTTCTGAACAGGATAGTTTTCACACACTACAACTCCAAAACATCTTTACACTTAATCACCTACTATGGGACTGGCATTTCAGTCATGCATATTCTAAAATAAATTATAAATAGTAGTATTCCAGTGTTTGCTTCAGTAAGCTAGAAAATAAATCGTGCAAAGGCAAAAGAAAGAACATTTCTCTTTAAAAATCAAATAGAATTTGTCAGGACTGCCTCAATCACTGGAAAAAGGAACCAGCATCACCCTTACTGCCAGATATAAGTTCTGTCAGGCACTGACAACACATAAGCACCTACCTTGGGATGCCCATGCAGTTCTTCACTGTTTGAGAGGGTAGCATTGAAAGGCTCTGTATACTGATTAGGTTCTTTCTTCATCTTTCTCTCTCTCTTTGCTGCCATAACTCTGAAGAGGCAAAACTGCTGACAAAGTAAAGTTGCCACAAATACCCAGGTGCACCCCTTCATTTTGAAAAGGGAGGGGCCAAGTCACGAAGCGCACTCTCCAAGCACAAAAACCTTCACCACGAATAATAGGAATAGACACAGACTTCTCTCTAAAAAAATAAAAAATAAAAAAGTTAGAACTATTAAAGGTGGTCCTCTGGGCTATGCAATGTCAAATGAGCAGCATGCATAGATGCGCTGGTTGCTGGAGAGATCTCTGTTCAAGCAGGACACATGGAAATGGTAGAGATAAACTTGTTTGAAAATCTGGATTCACTCGAAGAAAGAGGTAAGTTCATTCAGCCTCTTGAAGCTTACATAAATACAAGAGGCCCTGGAAAGTCCTGCCACCCACCTTGAAGTGTCGCT